ACGTTCTGACGCACTCTGTGCCAGGGAGAGCTGCCTTTGCGTTCTCCTGGCGGAGTCGTCAGTGGCTCGCGCGGAGTTGACGCTGGGGGGTTATGGCTGCCAAAGCTCGTGGTTGGGAGCTCTTGCCAAAGGTCTCCCGAGAGGCCAGTCCCGGTGGCTGCACGGTATCCCTCCCCCGGTGGCCGCACTGTGTACCATTGCTATCACCACTCTCCACTCTCCTTTCTTGTATCATTTTCCACGAGATTCTTAATGTCGATGGTTTTCTTTTTCTTTTCTATTGGAAAAAAAATTTTGCTTTTGATGTAAACTTATGAACTTAGTAGTCACTGTTCTGAATTTTGCTCTGTCAACTACTGATGTCAGAGGAGGCCCCAAAAGGCACCTTCCTAAACCATTTTGCTTAAACACTCGCTCGCTTTCTCCTGCTGTATTCAAATGTGTGATTGACACAATTTCCTATGAAATCTTTGCTTAGCAAAGAGCCCCCTCTGGGTGTCCCTTGAGTGTGTTTGATAAAGTGTAGTTTATTAACATTTGGCTCATTGCTTAAGTAATAATAGTGACAATAGCTAGCAACAATGGAGTTTCTTCCATGCGTGAAATTTTCGGCATCTATTATCACCTTGAATCCTAGCGACTGTATGACACAGTTTGGTATTTCCCCCTTAGGGAAGGGGAAACCGAGGCAGAGTGAGATTTCGTAGCTTGCCCGGGTCGTGGTAGGTCTCAAGGCCAGGCGTGCTGAGTTCAGAGCCGGCTTGACTGCCTCCCTTGCCTGTTTCCGAGTTGCTCGCTTGTGCCCTTGCCCGGCAGCCCCGTGACCGTGTAAATCCCACACGGGAAGAGGAAGGGCTTTGAGCACGGAGCGGGCAGGCGTTCTGCACCCTGAATAAGGCGCCATGGAGGGTGCCTCACCCGTGAAGCCGTCCCTGGGCTCTAGTTCCAGCTCCGCCCGATTCCAGCTTGCTGATGCACTTCCTGGGAGGCCTGAGTACTTGGGAGATGGAGCTCCGGGCTCCTGGCTTTGGCCCATCCTGGGCTGCTCTGGTCATCTGGGGAGTGAACCAGTGCCTTTTGGCAAGTCTGTCTTTCAAATGAAAAGCGAAGGTAATACTTTTAGAATAGAACAAAGGACTTGGAAATGAAATGACTTAGCCACGTTTACTAATAAGTGCGGCTTTTGAATTTTACTTATTTGAAGACAGTGGGACTTTTAAATCTGCTGACTGTTGAAATAGGCCTTCAAGTTCTGGGGACTATCCGGGCGCCGTGAGGGTTCTGAAGGCGCCGTGCGAGTCCCCGGCATCCTCAAGTCCTGGCCGCGGCCTCTGGTTTCTCACAGTGGGCTTACTGCGGCGCTCAGCCTGTGGCTCTGCTGATGGGTGTGAGCCCCCCCCCCCCGCCCCGCCCCAGGAGCCCCAGCGTCCGTCAGAGCTTCCCTGTTGCTAAGGGAACAGGGAGCTTTCTCACTCTTTATCCGCTGCGCACTTGCGTTCCGTGAAGCCCACTGAGAAGCTCCAGGAGGAGGGTTTTCTTCGGCAGGCAGCGGGGCTTCTCTGGACACGCTGCTGCCGGCTGACGCTGAGCTGGAAAGCCGGAGCCCCTGCTGCAGACTTCCTCTGCAGGGAGCCCAGTCAAGGGCAGCAGCAGCAACCCTTCCACCGGAAGCCCAGTCGGCTTCGCCTCGTCCTCACGCGTCCGTGTCACTGTCGGAGAACTTTGGCTCCGATGGGCTGATTCTCGTCAGCCCAAATCTCTTAGGTTACCTGTTTGTGTGACTCAAACCTGCTGATAACAGGATGTAGAGTGAAAGCTACATTTGAAATTGTATTTATTTAGCTAAGGGGCAGAATGCGCTCCCGTCACACTGTCTTACTCCCCCGAATGCCTGCAAGAGCTGGGGGTGGGCTGGGCTGAAGCTGAGAGCAGGGGGCACAGTCCAGGTCACCCTCGTGGTGGCGGGAACCTCATCGTCTGAGTCCCCAGGTCTAATGGGCGGGAAGCTGGAGCCAGGAGCCAGAGCTGACAATTCAAGCCCCTGGGGCACATGGACGCCTCACCTGCTAGACCCAGCGCCCACCTCTGGAATAAAGTGTCCATCAGTTCTGCATTGAGATTGGAAGACGCCGCTCAGCCCAGCATCCTAGCATCTCTAGCCGTGGTTCTGCACAGACCGTGTCACTGATCATCTGTGTGACCTTGGCTCCCGGCTTGCTCACCTGAGCCTTGATCGCCTCATCTGAAAACGATTGGCTCTGAATCCACAACCCTTGCTTTTTCAGATAGTCACCTAGAAGCAGTGTGGTCATCGCGAGAAAGATTGAACTATCTTAGTGACTCTGTGGTTACTAACACATTTTAGGATCGGAGGAGAGACTGGAGTTATTTGTTTCTTAAAGAGTGACATCTGCTGGTCACTCCCCAGATAGCCACAGCAGCTGGGCCTGTGTCCTGTTGAAGCCAGGAGCTCAGAACTCCGTCCTGGTCTCCCAAATGAGTGACAGAAGCCCAAGTATTTGAGCCATCTCCCCTGCCGCCTCTCGGAGCGCACATTAGCAGGCAGCAGGATCACTGCGGAGTGGGGACTCGAACCCGGGCGGGCACCTCCAGGATGCGAGTGTGCCAAGCGGGGCAGTGCCCACACCACTGTAGTCTCTTACTGCTACGTGCTTTAGAGCGCTTTGTGGGAAGTTCTCGAAGCTACGTGAAATTACCTCCAATTTTCAGGAACAACTGAATTTAGCTAATCGTTCCAAAGTTAAAGATACTGAGTGATAGAGAAACTCAGCTTGGCTAACTGAATTACCACTCGTGGCCCTCACGCCTCGAAGTGGTGTTGTACACTCAATCCAGGCAGCGAAACCTGGCAGGGACAAGGCGAAAGGGAACTCAGATTTCTCCTCAGCAGATTGTAAAATGGGGCGTTTAGCAGCCGGCGCTGTGGCACAGCAGGTAAAGCCACCGCCTGCAGTGCCAGCATCCCCTACGGGCACCGGTTCGAGTCCTGGCTCTCTGCTCTCTTTCAGTCCAGCTCTCTGCTATGGCCTGGGAGAGTAGTAGAGGATGGCCCAAGTCTTTGGGATCCTGCACCTGTGTGGGAGACCCGGAAGAAGCTCCTGGCTCCTGGCTTCGGATCGGCACAGCTCCAGCTGTTGCAGCTGACTGGGGAGTGAACCAGTGGATGGACCACCTCTCTCTCTCTCTCTCTCTCTCTCTCTCTCTCTCTCTCTGCCTCTGCCTCTCTGTATCTCTGCCTTTCAAAAAAAAATTTTTTTTTTCAAGGCGCTGGTTGGGATCATTCGCATCCCACAGCAGAGTGCCTGGGTTCGGTTCCCAGCTCTGGCTCCTGACCCCAACTTCCTGCTAAGGGCATCCTGGGAGGCAGCAGCCGTGGCTGGAATACTTGGCTCTGGGCCACTGGGTTGAGACTCCGGCTCCCAGCTTCAGCCCCAGCTCAGCCCAGCCATTGTGGGCGCTGGGGGTGCGGGGCAGTGGGTGGGCCCTTTGTCTCTTCCTGTGTTGAGCACTTTAAAGACCCTCTCTGCAAAATGGGTTACATCACAAGGTTAGGTTTTCACGTTTGAGTCTGGTGGGGTGGTGGCACCTTTAGTCTAGAGCACTTAGAATTTCTAACAATCTCTGTTCTAGGTCACTTGTTCTGGGGGGACAATGTTGGGGTGGGCTGCTGGGACAGCCAGCAGGACACATCTAAGAGACCAAGTAGGAGGGCGCTCAGGGCGGGGGAGGGGAAAGCAGCAGGGGTTAGCCAGGGCCAGCGAGAGCGGGTGTGGGTGAGAGGCTGTCAGAGCTCACGCCCCTGGCTCCGGTTTTCAGCTTCTCCCTGCTGTGCCGTCACTGCCCACTCACACGCCTCAGCTGGCAGCAGTGGCGCCGGCTTCCGGGGCTGGGAGAGAAGGGAGGCTGGTGACGGCAGGCGCACACCTGTGCAGCACAGTCATCAGCCCTGACTCACGGCACGCGGCGTGACGCGGCGTGTGCACCGCGTGGTCGGCTGCCCTCACTCCCCGCCCCGGCTCGCCTCTGCCGCCATCCCTTCCCCTGCCTCACAGGGGCAACGCCTTTGGGCTTCCTACTGCAGTGAGCCACTGACCCAGCGGCCGGGGTCCTGCACTGCTGGGTCTCGAGGCAGTGCTGTCAGGAAGCTGAGATGAGCCACGTGTGGCAAATGATGCGGCCGTGACCGACAGATGCCATTGTCCGCAGTGCAGCTGGGCTGACCTGCCCCAGGGCTGGCTGACCCCTGGGAGGTCTGGTACCTTTGAGCTCGTTCCTCCAATGAACCCTTAAGGCTACATTCCTGGTAGAAGCTCCACTGAACTTGGGGGAATAGTCCAGGTGAGTAGTGAAGCCTTACTTCATTAAAAAAAAAAAATTCATGTATTTGAAAGTGAGAGAGAGAAATCCATCTTCCATCTGCTGGTTCACTCCCCAAAAGGTCACAACAGCTGGAGATGAGCCAATCTGTAGCCAGGAGCTTCTTCCAGGTCTCCCACGCAGGTGCAGGGGCCCAAGGACTTGGGCCATCTTCTGCTGCTTTCCCAGGCCACAGCAGAGAGCCGGATCGGAAGCTGAGCTTAACCCACTGTGCCGCGACACGGGCCCCAGTATGGAACTTCTAACCCAAAAGCTTGGGCATTCATCCACTGCCCCTCCCGCTCGCCCCGGCGCACTAGCAGGGAGCTGGTGGGACGTGGGACGCGGGCAGGTTTTTGGGGAAAGGTAGGCATCGCCCTCTGCTCTGTGAGCGCTGAGGGTCATCGCTTGGGAGTCGGAGAGCAGGACCAGCTTGTAAATCACCTCCTTCCCTCTGTCCCCGAGGCTTCAGGCAGCCCCATGAAGGCTTTCCCGGTGCACCTGACACGGGCAACTCGGTCCACACTCGGGCATCACAGCCAGGGCAGCGCCTGGGGCTCCCAGAGAGGCGCTCGGGCACTGAGGTCGCGGGGCTCGCGCGCCGTCCCTTGGTGGGAAGGCACAGGGCACAGGGAATGCCTGGGCGGCTGCCCGGAACCTCTCGGCCCCTTCGCACCCGGCTCGGCCTTTGCGCCACCTGCCGCCTCCCGCGGCGGGCCCTGCGGTGCGGTGCACCGGCCATTTCCCGTGTTGGCGGGGTGCAGGCGTCATACGCACCACAGGCACCTCCGGGGAGCCCGTCCCCCCGCTTCCCTGCGGATTTCCGGGTAACCCGGGGGCAGGGTCACTCCGCGTGCACCAGAGACTGGCCCGGGGAGGAGGGGCAGAATGAGGCAGAGGATGCGCGCCCCGCGCCCCCGCCAGAGGGGTCACAACGGCCACCACTGGACGCCTCCTAGGAGCCGGACTCTGCCCCGCGCCCCGGGGACGGAGGCCCTGCTGTCCGGCGCCGCTCGCGCTCTATCGAGAGAAGGGTCAGGAAGCAAGGGAGCGAGTCGCGAGGGCTCCGTAGGGAGTGGGAGAGGGCTGACTGGTGGTCCGGTAAGGCTTCTCGGAGGAGGCGCCACGGAAGCCGGCGCTCGGAGGGCGAGAAGAAACCAGCCAGGGGCAGGAGGGGCCGCGGACGACACAGCCTCAGGGGACCCCAGGCCCGCGGCCCCGCAAGAGGAGCCCTCGGGGCGGGGGGCTCTGGCACCCCCTTCGGCCCTTTAAGGGGGAGCAGGGGTCGGTGTGGGCGGTGTCAAGGCCCCCTCGCGACCGCTGATTGGGCGGCGCGGCCGAGCGGCGCGGCTCCACGGGCTCTGATAGGCGAGCGCGGCCGGGCGCCGCCGCCAGGTGATGCCGAGGGTCTGCGCTCGCGGCCACGTGGGGGGCGCGCGGGGCGGGCGCCCGGGCGCAGCAGCGCGGGGGACGCGCAGGGGTCGGGAGCTGGAGCTGCGGGACGGGACGCGCCACGACAGGGCTGCCGCGGTGAGTGGGTTCGGTCTGCGGCGCGGAGATCGGGGAGGGTCTCAGGGAGCGAGAGGCCCCCGGGCCCCCGCCGCCGGCCCCGGTGTCTCCCGTCGCCTCCTCGGGCGTCTTGCTCCTCGGCGGGGACTCAGGGTGGCCGGGGTCGCGCTCGCCAGCTTAGAGGCGGCGGCGCAGACAGCCCACGCCGGGGGTGCGCGGGTGGCGCAGCAGCGCGGGCCGCTGCTCCCCCGCGTGGCCTCGGCTCTCGCAGCTCAGCCCGGGTCTGGGGCGAGCGTCGCACCCCCGCAGCTCCGGCGCACGCACCTCTCGCGGTTCTCCCGTCGCTGACTCCCGCCCCCGCCCCCAGCTTGCGTGTCCTCGGAGGCGGGGACTTGGGCCACCCCCGAGCTGAGGAACGGGAGGCGGCGAGTGTGACTTGTCCGAGGTCCCATCAGCCGATCGTGATGGACCCCGCAGCCCACGTCCCTGACCCCTGGCTGCGTGGACCTCAGCCTCCGGGGCGCATGGGGGTGGCACGAGTGGGTGATGGGGCGGCCGCAGGCCGTCCGGCCAGAGGAGGGAAGCTGGCGTTGGCCGGGGAGGTCCGTGCCGGGGGCCACCGGGCTCCCGACGCCTGTCCCTGCTCCCTCGCCTCACCCCCTCCTAGACAGGCTGGGACGCAGCGAACTCCCGCCGCGGACCCCTGCCACCTGGGACGCAGCGAACTCCCGCCCCGGACCCCTGCCCCCTGGGACGCATTGGACTCCCGCCGCGGACCCCTGCCCCCTGGGACGCATTGGAATCCCGCCGCGGACCCCTGCCCCCTGGGACGCATTGGACTCCAGCCGCGGACCCCTGCCCCCTGGGACGCATTGGACTCCCGCCGCGGACCCCTGCCCCCTGGGAGGGCCGGAGGGCTGGCCTTGCCGCCAGCTCCGGGATTACCCCGTGGGACTATGACCAGGTAGCTGCCTTCCCCGCCCTGCGTCAGCGCAGATACAGTTCCGTGCAGCAGAGGGGCCTCGGAGCCTGCCCCGCAGGGGAGTCGTCTGTCCCTGAGCTGGGCCACCTGGCAGACCTCAACCACAAGGGAGCCCCGGGCTGCCTGCAAACGTGACCCCTGTGCCACCAGGCGCCTCTGTAAAAGCTCAAACCTAAGCCGGCGTTTGTGGCTGCAGGGGCAAGCAGCGCTGTTTCCAGGGTTAGGCTGGTGCCCCCTGGTTCCCCTGGGCACCCCTAGCTCCAGGTCTTGGGCAGAAAGGCTTGGTGTCCTGAAGCCTTGGGGGAGAGGTGGGGGAGGGGGCAGCAGCCAGTGTCCAAGGGGGCTGAGGCCCAGGGGCCGGGGTGGGGGGGTGGGTTGAGCGAGGAGCCTGTGGCCTGGCGTCCCCTCCCCACCCCCAGGCTGGGATACTGGAGCCGCAGCTGCTGTGTCTGCCTGTGTCCCCCTCCCCCGTTTGCACCTTGCTTCTTTGGTCATCTCGGCCTCCTGGCTGCCATCCCAGCCCCTGGGTGCGCCATGCAGTCAGACGCGCCTTGGCTGGAAGTCCCCATCTGCCCACCTGGGCTGGGCATCGCGTGGCCTGTGTGCTGGTGGCACAGCTGACGTGGCTTTATTTGAACATCGCTGTGCAGTAGGTGGGAGACACGATGTGAACAATGGCCGGGGTCAGGGGGCCAGGAGAGCCAGGGGAGACAGCCGGGAGGGGGACCCCGGAGGGCTCCCGGGGACCGCGCATCTGACTGCCACCACGTGCCTGGCTGGCTGCTCGATGGAAGCCACGCATCACAGTGGTGCCTCCCCCCAGGCTGAGCCTGGCAGGGAAGGTCGAGGGCAGGCGGAGGCGGGGCACACTCGGGACTCAGACCCGCTCCTGGCTGAATCATGGCCCCCACTGCCGCGCCCTCCGGGACCAGGCGGTCACCTGTCGGTGTGGCCTTGGCAAGGGGGGACTGACGCGGTTGGAACTGCTCCCCCCCGCCGAGCCCCTCCTGGACAGCAGGCTCTGGGTCCCTGAGGGGGGTGTTTGGGGTGGCCCCAGGGGAGGCTGAGGGAGCAGGTGACCAAGGGCAAGGCTGGGACTGGGGGCCACATTCCTCAGCCCCCCAGGTGCCGTCCACCTTCTCCACACCCCGATGCCGTGTCATTGCACTCTCGGTGGGTTCTGGGTTTATGGTCTGCTGTGGGTTTCTGGAGAGAGCCGGGGTCAGGCTGGGCAGATAAGCAGGGGCCTGTGAAACAGGCTCTCAGCCACAGGGCTGTGGTCACCTAGCTCATGGCCACCCCCAGGGGCTGCTCTTGCTCTGGAACCTGTTATGGCTCCCCACTACCCACCAGGCAGAGCTGGAATTCCCCAGTCCGGCCCCTAAGACTGACCCCAAATCAGATCTGGTCTGCTGCTGGGGCCAGGTCGGCCTGGGCCCCAGCTGCCCGCCTGGCTTGGCGCCTCCGCAGCCTGGCACCCCTCGCCCTTGTTGCCTCCCCAGGGTGCCGTCCCTTCCCTCTGGCACGTTGCACCCGTTGGTTCCAGTCTGCACCCTGACTTCCACCACCCGGCAGCAGGGCCCCTGTCCGATTCAGCTCTGACCTTGCTGGGGTTGGCGTTTGATGAGCGAATGAGCGAGCAGCCCCATCTTCAGGTCTTCGCCCAAAGCCCACCCCCTCCCAGGGTACCGGCACGTTCCACCTGTCACAGCGCCCAGCGTTTAGTTCCGTGTCTTTGTCCCCATGACAAAGGCAGGCAGAGCAGCCGCTGTGTTTTCAAGGCTACGTCCCCAGAGCCTGGTGCTCGGTAGGGATCGTCAGATGGAGTGAAAGGCGCGAGGGAGCTCGCCAGCCTCAGACCGGAAGCGCTGGGGCTCGCCTGTCCGGAAACCGCCCTTGCCCCTTGCTTCCTGCAGCCTTTCTTCCTGTGGACCTTGAAGCTGGGCACCCTCGGGGCCATGCAGAGGGCAGGGGCGGGCGGCCGGAGGGCCTCTGACTGCGGGCCTGCCCCGTACCGGCCCAGGTGCATCACCAAGTTTGCCCAGGTGGGTGGGGCGGCCCCAGCCCGGGTGCTCTCTGGGGTGGCCCCTGGATGGGAGGAGCTACTTCCTGTCTCCCTTCCTTGCCCCTGGCTTTGCAGTTTGTGGGTGTGGGTGTGGGTGTGTGAGGGAGGGGACCCGCAGGAGATGGGCAGAGCACTGGGCTCCTGGTGCAGGCTCTGCCACCGTCCGAAGCTTGCCTGGCTGAGCACAGCATGTGTCTGGGGTGGGGGGAGGCTTTGGATCTGGAGAAGGGTGGTCAGGGGCTGTGGGCCTGACTCCCCCGCCTTCCTCCCTCCCACCCCACCGCCGAGCAGTACGTGGGCTCCTTCCCCGTGGACGACCTGGACACCCAGGAGAGCGTGTGGCTGGTGCAGCAGCAGCTGTGGACACTGAAGGTGGAGGCTCTGGGGCTGGGGAGGGTGTGTCCCTGTGGGGGGCCGCGGTCTTGGATTGCCAGGTGGGGACTGAGCCCTGAGGCCAGCTGCCCCCAGGGAGCCCCGTGAGGACCCCTCCCCAGCTCCTGGAACCCTGTCCCTTCTGCCCAGGACCCCCTTCCTCGGGGCTGTGCTGCACGGCTGGTAGCAGAGCTGGGGAGATGGGGAGACAGTCACAACATGGCCAGCTGTGGCCCTGATGGGTGTTGTCTGCCAGGAGCCACCCACCTTTCCATGGCTCCTGGGGGGACCACTGGCCAGGGGTGGTGGGCCTTGGTCCACCAGGCCCTGGTGACCGGCACCGAGGCTGGCCTGGGAGGTAATGCCTGCCCCGCCGGCTCTCTCCACCCAGGACTGTCCGCGCCGCCGGGCCGTCATCCTGAAATTCAGCCTCCAGGGACTGAAGATCTACAGCGGGGAGGGTGAGGTAGGAGCATTTGGGGGCCAGGTGAGGGCTACACAGGGGCTCCCCTCCACCTGGCCTGGCCCCCACCCAGCCCCAGCAGTTCCCTGCGGCCCAGCCTCTGGGGCCCACGCCAGGGCGCACTCAGGGAAGTTCTGCCCAGGCCTTGTAGGCAGCAGGACCAGCCCCCCCAGGAGCCTGGGAGTGGGGGGCAGGGGGTGGGGGGTGGGGGAAAGGGCCTGGTTTGGGCTGGAGGTGCCCCCACTGCTCACCCTTCTCCTGGTACAGGATGGACCCTAACTGTGCCCCCCATGGCCGCAGGCGTCCGCTCTCCCAAGGCCCGGGCGTGTGGTGTCCCAGAGCCAGGCATCAGTTCCTGTGCCCCTTGCACAGGAGTCACTGCCCGTGACATTGGCATTGTCCCCGCCCTGAGCCCTGTCACTTGTACTCCTGCAAGGCGTGCGGAGGGGGCGTGGCAGAGCTGGGACTTGAACCAGAGGCCAGGCTTGCAGCCCGGGCCCTGCCGCCACTGCCCGTGTCTGTGACCCACAGGCCGGCATCTGGAGTCAAGGGGATCCCAAGTCCGTGGCCATGTGAGGGCTGGGGGTCCGGGACCCGGTGGGCCTGGCAGGAGAGAAGATTGCATCCCTGGGGCCAGGCAGCCCTGGCTGGGCCTGAGGTGGGCGGGACCAGCCTGATGGAGGCTCGTGGCCCCGCCTCCAGGTGCTCCTGATGGCCCACGCCCTGAGGCGCATCCTCTACTCCACCTGGTGCCCGGCTGACTGCCAGTTCGCCTTCGTCGCGCGGAACCCACGGAGCCCGGCCAGCAAGCTCTTCTGCCACCTCTTCGTGGGCAGCCAGCCCGGAGAGGTGCCTGGGCCCCAGGGTGGGGGTCCCGCTGAGGACGGAGTGGGGATGTGCCGGGCATGCAGGGACAGAGGCCTCTGGGGCTTGGCCAGGCTGGCCTGCACCCCCTCCGGGCTCGCGCTCCTCGCCCCACTCGCTCTGCCCACAGAGGACCCCAGAGAGCAAGCCAGTGGCCTCGGGGTCCCCGGGGCCTGCAGGCGGAGACCTGGCCTCTCGCCTCGTGATTGCTCCTGCTCTTCTCTCAGCGTGGTCTCCCCCTGCCTTCTCATCTGGGCAAAGCGCCATCTGCCCGGCCTGCGACTGCCCCTCCCTCGGCAGCCCCGGGACCTGAACCGCGCTCTGTCACTCTGTCTCATGACAGACGCTTGAGTTCTTGGAGAGCAGAGGCCAGTCCGGGTCTTGAAGTGTTCCAGGCTTGAGGTTGCACAGGGGCTGGTGCAGGCAGGGAGACTGAGGAAGTCGGAGCCACAGCAGCCGGGCCCTGGGAGACGGGAGGTCAGCAGGCTGCCCGGCACTGGCGCCACACAACCAGCCCCGTGCTGGCTCCCCGTGCTGGCGTGGCTGGGATGTGGTGCCTGGTTGTGCACTGTTGCTGGCACTGCATGGAGTGTCTTGCACGGTGCCATACAATATGCAAGCCCCAGGCCTGTGCTGGGAGCTTTCTGTGGCCCTGAGGTGGGGCTGAGGAAACCGGGACACGGAGAAGGCCACAGGCTGCCGGGGTCACTCAGCCGCTCCTGAGTGACAGGGCCAGGCTCTGAGCGCCCTCTGAAGGGATCTGCACCGGGTGAGGGTGGGGCACGCAGTGTATGTGTGTGTGGGGGGGGTGGCGGCAGTGCCTTAGCCCAGGGTTACCGCCTCTGCGGCCGTCCTGATGCCTGGCCCAAGGTTGGTGCTCGGTGCTTGCCGAGTGAATACAGGAGGCTGGCAGGGGAGACTGGCGGTGGGGTTTTGAAGGCTGACTAGGAGATTTCCCAGGAAGAATGAGGCAGGGCATTCCTGGCCCGAGGGGCGGCGTGCGCCGCGGCGAGTGGGCTGGTGCTTGAGTTCCCCAGGACACCCGTCCCACTGAGCCGCCTGTCCCCTGCAGGTCCACATCCTGTACCTGCTGCTGTGCCGCTCCTTCCAGCTGGCTTACCTCCTGCAGCACCCCGAGGAGAGGGCCCAGCCTGAGCCCTGCCCAGCACCCACTGCGGATGTGCCCCCGAAGCCCCCGGGGGGCCCACCTGCCCTGGCACGGGAGCCCTTCGGCCGGGATCAGCTGTCACAGAACGTCCACGCCTTGGTCTCCTTCCGGCGGCTGCCAGCAGAGGGGCCGGTGGGCAGTGGGGTAGGCAGCGCCCCGGCTAGGGAGCTGGGGGAGGGCTGGGGGCTCACAGAGGGGCCTGGCCGTCAGCGGGAGAGGCCTTGCCTCGCCTCACGTGGCTGGGCCTGAGTCTGGCCGCCCGCGGGCCCCCCTTGGTGCCCTAGAAGGAGCTGCTGGAGTCGGAGGGCCGAGGGGGCGCCCGCCACGCCCGCCTGGGGAACCCCTACTGCTCGCCCACGCTGGTCCGCAAGAAAGCCATTCGCAGCAAGGTGATCCGCTCGGGGGCCTACCGGGGCTGCACCTACGAGGCTCAGCTGCAGCTGTCGGCGCGGGAGGCCTGTGAGTCGCCCGGGTGCAGCGGCCGTCCATCACCGTGGGTGGGCGCGGGGCTGACACGCAGGGTCGTGGCTGCCCCTCCAAGCAGGTGCCTGTGTGTGCGAGTGTGGACGCCCCTGTGTCCAGGTGTGTGTGTGCGTTCCACTCTGTGTGCAGGTGCCACATGGCTGTGTATGGGCTCTAAGCATGGCCGGGTATGCCTGTGGGGTGGGGAGGGGCCGCTCGACCAGGGAACCCCCTGACACGAGGGGGCCCGCGTGGAGGACGGGCTGGCCTGGGAGGGCTTGGCCACTTTCCCTCTGACCCTGGGTGGTCTCCGCAGTTCCCGCCGCATGGGAGGCGTGGCCCCGGGGTCCTGGGGGCCCCTCGTGCCTGGTGGAGAGCGAGGGCAGCCTGACGGAGAACATCTGGGCCTTTGCTGGCATCTCCAGGTGGGAGGGGCTCGGTTCCTTGGTGGGGGCAGAGTAAGGGGCTGTGCTCTGACCCCACCCTGATGGTGCCGGTCCCTGTGCATGGGCAGAGCTCCCCCACCCTCGGGGGCTTCTGGCCACCCGGGTCTCAGTATTCTCAAATGAGAAACGGGGGTAATGAGAGGACCTTGGTGGCGGGGCTGCGGGGGGACCGAGTGAGGTGACTCTGGGAAGGCGCTCAGCCCTGGCCTGCCGCAGGGCTCCGGTCCCGTCAGCTCTGTCCCCTCTCTCCTGCTGGGGTCCTGAGGCTCTCAGCCAGGAGGGACGTTCACCGCAGGTCACTGCCCGGGGGCGCCCCCTGAGGCCGCTCCAGAGACGGGTGCTGCCTTCAGCCTACGCCCTGTGTCCCCCAGGACCTGTGCCCTGGCCCTGCTGCGGAGAGACGTGCTCGGGGCCTTCCTGCTGTGGCCGGAGCCGGGCGCCAGCGGCCAGTGGTGTCTGTCCGTGCGCACGCAGTGCGGCGTGGTGCCCCACCAGGTCTTCCGCAACCCCCTGGGCCGCTACTGCCTGGAGGTGAGAGCCCAGCCTTCCCTCATCTTCACTGGGTACCCACTGGCTGGCCCCGCCCTTCCCCTACCTCCTCGGCCCTGGTCACTGAGGGTCCCTGCCCCAGAGGGAGCTCCTAGAGGGTCCCTCTGATAGGGCCGGGCCTGAGTGGGAATCCTGGCTTTTCAAAGTCTTGCCTTCCCACACCCTAGCCCCTGGATAGCAGAGGAGGATTCCGATTCAGAAAGGGCAGGGGCTCGCCTAAGCCCACCCGGCCCCTGGGACTCCCAGCGGGGTGGGAGGCTTTGGACGCCTGTGCCCGTACTTCCGGGCAGGCAGGGGAGAGTGAGGAAGTGGCATGTGGCTCTGCGGCAGGCAGGTGCCCCCAGGAGGAGGTGGCTGGTGCCTGGCGCACCGTGGGGAGGAGCGCGGGAGCTGAAGCCCCCTCCTCCCTCAGCGGCTGCCAGCAGACTTCCCCAGCCTGGAGGCCCTGGTGGAGAACCGTGCCGGCGCCAAGCGCAGCCTCTTCTGCCCCCTGGGCATGGGCCGCCTGAACCCCACCTACGAGGAGCAGGACTCCGGGCCACCTCGGACTCTCCGGCCCCTCGGCCACGCCAAGTCCGAGGCGGAACTGCAGGGCCTGGGCTAGGAGAACGTGCGCGCGCACGGCGCCGCCTCACCTTGCTCCTGCCTGCCCCACCCCGTGCCATGCCTCTTGGGCCAGTCTTCTGTCCTGCGAGATTCCCGGAGATGTGGCAGAGCTCCGGGCTTCGGGCTTTCCCTGGTGACTTTGCCAACTTGTCACATCCAGGCTCCCACTTGCCTCCTGGCAGAGGAGCCCGCCAAGGGGGGCGGGGGCCCTGATGGGGGTGGGGGTCTCCAGAGAGTTCTGGCCAGGTGAGAGAGAGTGAGGTCTCCCGCCCCAGCTCCCCCAGCTGTCTGGGAGGTGCCGGCCAGGATCTGCAGGCCACAGTTGCTCTGTGGCTGGTGTGTCCTCCGACATGGCACCACCCGTGGCTGGCGGGTCAGAGCAGAGGCCTTCATGCAGAGGTGGTGGTGACGTGTGCCCTGCCAGAGGCGCTGAGGCCTCAGCGGGCAGGGGGAGACCCAGGTGGGGCTGCAGGCAATGGCCCTGCTGGCGACTGGCATCCAGGGTGCCCCCACCCCTTCTGAGTAAGCTCGACGGGCAGTCGTGAGTGTGTAGGCACAGTTACTGCTCCGGATATCTGTCCCCGAGGCGGGGCCGTGCCGTGCTGGGACGTAACAGGTATGTGAGTCCTGGAAGGCAGAGGCGCCTGTGCGCAGCCGCACCAGGACAGGACCTCGGCCAGGGGCCTGTGGCTTTCTTGCAAGACAGGTGCCCTGGCCTGTCTCAAAGGAGAGGAGGCGGTCCCCCAGGGCTCTTTTAGTCGGAGACACAGCCCTGATTTGTGCCGAATGGGAGTGGGACGTTGGGACTGGTGTTCCAGGCATCTTGACTGAACCGGTCCCCTCCCTGGGCAGAGTGCCGTCCTGTGGCGGGAGCCCCCAGCCTCATGTGCCCCGCAGCCCTGGCAATGGGGGGCTGGGTTCACAGTCAGTGTTCCACTGCAGGGTGGGCTCGGGGGAGCGCTGAGCACACGGAAGGGAGCAGCCTTCCCCAAGCTCAGACTTCGGCCAGCTCCTGCTGGTCACAGGTTACACTTGGGCAAGGCTTTTGGCCCAGGGATGCCAGCTTCTTAGTGTCTTAATAATGGAGCACGGCTGTGTGTGTGTGTCTGTGTCCCAACCACCACCACTTGGGTCGCCCCAGTGTGGACTCAATAAAACCCATTCCTTCCAACTGTGTAGTGCAGCCTTTCTCTTCAAGAGGGGGGGCCTCTGTCCCATTTGGCTTCAGTTGGTGCTGAATGGGCTCAGATCTCCCAAAGGGACTGGGTGGGAAGGTGGGATCCAGCCATGTGCAGCCACTTGAGACCTTGAGTGGCTAGTTACTGCAGGAACAAGACTCAGGGCCTTATGCCCTAGCAACATGGGCTTGCTTTCTGCTCCTACCACATGCCACAGGACCTTTGCACAGCCTGGGCGGGTCCCCTTGTCCACCTCTTCCCCTCTGCCTGATTCATCCTTTTTTTTTTTTTTTTTTTTTTTTGGACAGGCAGAGTGGACAGTGAGAGAGAGAGACAGAGAGAAAGGTCTTCCTTTGCCGTTGGTTCACCCTCCAATGGCCGCCGTGGCCGGCATGCTGCGGCCGGCGCACCGTGCTGATCCGATGGCAGGAGCCAGGTGCTTCTCCTGGTCTCCCATGGGGTGCAGGGCCCAAGCACTTGGGCCATCCTCCACTGCACTCCCGGGCCATAGCAGAGAGCTGGCCTGGAAGAGGGGCAACCGGGACAGAATCTGGCGCCCCGACCGGGACTAGAACCTGGTGTGCCAGTGCCGCAAGGCGGAGGATTAGCCTAGTGAGCCGCCGCGCCAGCCCTGATTCATCCTTAACCACGGTATTTGGGGCCCAGTCTCAGGCTGCCTGCCCCTCGCCCTACAATGTGAGCTTCCCTTTGCAGAGGTTGCCCCAGAGCGTCTCCACCGCGTAATTACGCTTGCATTTCTGGGGGTCTTTGTCCCCCCAGGGCGAGTCTCCCCGCTCAGCTGGGGGCTGCAGGAGGGCTGGCTCTGCAGCGTCCGCAGCCTGCCTGGCGCCGATTTCAGTGTTTCCCTGCCAGGGGGAGCCCAGAGGAGGTGGCGCGGAGCGGCCCTTCTGGCTGGGGGTGCTTGGGCCGAGCTTGAGGGACAGGCCAGGCCGCCTCTCCGGCCCACAGGTTCCGGCAGCAGAGGAAGCCGGGCTCCGTCCAGAGGCTGGGGCTGGGGGCAGAGGTCGCCCGGCTCCGGAGGTCTCCAGCCCCTCGAACTCGGGGTGGAGCCTGGGGTCCCTGTCTTGGCGGGGGCAGCCTCGGGCGAGCTGCTGGCCCTCTGCGGAGACCCGAGCCGACAGCCGGGCGTGGAGACCCCAGCCCGGGGCGGGAGTGGGGAGGGGAATCTCTGGCACTGAGAACGCGCGGACTTGGGCGCTGCGCCCCCTGTGACGCCACGGGGGTTGCCCGGCAACCGCGAACGCCGCGGCGGCGTGCACGCGCGAGCGGGCGGGCGGCTCCGGGGCTCGGGTCCTGCGGCAGCGCCTGCAGCGCGGATCCCCCACTTCCCCGCGGGGGCCCAGCCTCTGGGGGCGCCCCCCGAGGGGCCCCCCGAGGCCCCGCCCCTCCCGCCGAGGCCCCGCCCCCCGCCGGCTCTGGCCCCGCCCCCGGGCCCGGGCCGCAGCGCCATGGCCTCGGAGTCGGTGAAAGTGGTGGTGCGCTGCCGCCCGATGAACCAGCGCGAGCGGGAGCTCAGCTGCCAGCCCGTGGTGACGATGGACTGTGCGCGCGGCCAGTGCTTCATCCAGAACCCGGGCGCCGCCGACGAGCCCCCCAAGCAGTTCACCTTCGACGGCGCCTACCACACGGACCACGTCACCGAGCAGATCTACAACGAGATCGCCTACCCGCTGGTGGAGGTGAGGGTCCCTGGCGGCGCCCCGGCACAGGCGGACAGCGCCAGGCCGGCCCGGAGACTGTGTCCAGCGCGCCGGCCACGTCGCGTCTAGGGCCACGCTGGTCCTCACTCACGTCCCTCCCGGGAGACTGTGGCCGGTGCCGGGGTCTCAGGGGGCCCTGCCGCTGCGCGGACGGCACCGCCCCGCCCCGCCTCGTTCTGAGAGGGACGGAGACCCTCAGCCGTGGCCGGCCCCCTTCCCCCTCGGTGTGTGCGCAGCGACAGCTCCTCGCTGTCTAGGGCTGCGGGTCTTCACAGGGACGGCACTAGCATCTCACGCCCGGGAGACCGGGAAGCGGGGCGGGGAACCCTGGCCGAGCTGCCTCCGGGTTTCTGGCAGAGGTGAGGCCCGAACCACACCTCCTGCCTCCTGGCCAAGGGCTCTGTCGTCTTCCAAAAGATCGTCAGAGAGGGGTCACTCCCCAAATGGCCGCGACATTTGGGCCAGGGCCCAGGCGACTGAAACTCCATCCTGGTCTCCCACGCGGGTGGCAGGGGCTCAAGCACGTGGGCCATCTTCTGCTGCTTTCACAGGTGCATCTGCAGGATGCTGGTGGAAAGCGGAGCAGCCAGGACTCGAACCTGCGCTCTGATATGGGATGCTGGCTCCTCCATACTGGGCCCCTGACTCCATCCCTTGACACCTCCCTCGGGCTCGGCGAGTCACTGCTGGGGTGAGATGTCGTGGGTGGTTCGGCAAAGAGAAGGAGCCTTTCAGAGGTGCCGCATTCTTGCCCCCCTCATTTGAAGCTGCACGGGGCAGGCTAGGGTGTGCAAGGCTCTGTGAAATCCTGCAGAGAAGGAACCAGTGTGACTTCGCCCAGCATTTCCAAAGCACGTCTGACCATGGGACAGGCCAGTGACCGCCTGAGAGCAGCCACCTTGTTGCCCCAAGCCTTCAGCCAAGAGTCAGTCCGGCCCCTAAGTGGGTTGACAGAGCTCCCCAGTGGCCAGGAGCTGGCCTGGGGACGCTGCCCAGGGGACGAGGGGCAGCTGCCCCCAGAGGCTGAGAATGGCCAGGTTGTCTTCTGCCAGACCCCACTCCCAGACTGGACCTGACCCTGCCCGTGCCTCCCGTCGGGTCCTTGGAGTCCGCCAGAGTGGAGGCCAAGCTGTCACTGGTGCTGCTACACCGGCAGTCCAGTCTGCCCAACACAGCCCCTTCCAGTGTGGTTCCTTGGCTTGGCCATCCAGCCCTGAGTCCAAGCCGGCCTCCCTGAAGCGGTCAGCCACGCAGCCTGGCTCCGTCCCCCTGCTCCCTCCGTCCGGGGCTGACCCCAGGCAGAACTGAAGATACTGGTTTTCCTCGGCTTTGCCTCCTCGGGGCTTCAGCCTTGCTGATGGGCTGGGGGCCTGGCCTGGACCCCTCCTCATCCAGGAAGAGTGCCAGCTCGTTGGTCAGGGCCCACGGGAGCCCCAGCTCAGAGAGGGAGATGGGGACACAGTGACAGTCCCGCCAGGTCCCCTCCAGCTCTTCCTTCTCTTCTGAGTCCAGCAGGTGCTTGGGAGCCTGTCGGACACCTGCCACGGGTGATCCAGAGCCTTATGTGCCACCTACGCTCATCATTCATTCAACTAGTGACACGACTAAATAGCATCTCCACTCCAGGGCCCATCCTAGGGGGTGCATGCTGGGTGCCTTGGTAAAGGGCTCAGGGTCTCTGTCCTTAGCAAGCTCGTGGTCCGGGGAGGAGCAGCTAAGCTACTAGCTGACATCCTGGGTGATGAGTCGGTGGGGGAAACCTGGGGGCCTTCGGCAGCATAGGGGTGCTCCCAAACCTGGGCTTCAGTGGCTGGGAATAGGGGGAGGGGAGAAGAGCAGGGAGGACTTCCTGGAAGAGGGGAGATACAAGCTGGGACCTGAAGGATGAGAGGTGGAAGAAAGGGCTCCATAGGTAGAGACCAGGTAGCGCGAACAGCCTCTGAGCTTCCGAGGGCTGGAGCCGTCTCTGCTTAGGAGGAAACTGAGGGCCGGAGAGCCGTGGACGGTCGCGACTCCCAGAGCCAGCTTCCCGGGCTCCACTGGCCGCATGCAGACCACAGCTCAGGCTGGCTCTGAGCCGGGGGCAGCAGCACCAAAGGGGCAGGGCCATGCAGGGCTCCTGCCAGTGGCTCTGGACTCTAGAACCCTCCCTTAAGGTCGCGCTGTCTGAAGCCCCAAGTACTCCATCCCCTTCTCTCTTTCTCTTCCCTCTTTTTTTTTTTTTTTTTTTTTGACAGGCAGAGTGGACAGTGAGAGAGAGAGACAGAGAGAAAGGTCTTCCTTTGCCGTTGGTTCACCCACCAATGGCCGCCGCGGCCGGCGCGCTGCGGCCGGCGCACCGCGCTGATCCGATGGCAGGAGCCAGGAGCCAGGTGCTTTTCCTGGTCTCCCATGGGGTGCAGGGCCCAAGCACTCCCTGGCCACAGCAGAGGGCTGGCCTGGAAGAGGGGCAACTGGGACAGAATCCGGCGCCCCGACCGGGACTAGAACCCGGTATGCCGGCGCCGCTAGGCGGAGGATTAGCCTATTGAGCCGCGGCGCCGGCCCTCTTCCCTCCTTTAAATCCTCCTGACCTCCTCGTCCTGGGGGCCGCCCTGCCCTGAGCTCCTCCCCTCCACACCCCACCCCACCCCTGCCTGTCCCGCTAGTCCCATTTCACTTAGAACAAAGGACAGCACTTCCAGCCTTCACAAAGCGGCCTGCAGCCGTGGATCTCACGGAATCTGTTCAGTCCCTAGCGGTGCAGGGGGCCACGGCAGAGGGCGGGGGTGGGGGGGTGGGGCACGGGGCCAGTGGCAGACCTGCTCCGTGTGTGTGCTTGTCCCCCGGGGGTCTGGAGGGGTCAGCTGATGGCAGAGACTTTCTGAAATGCCCCTTCGCCTTAAAAGTGCAAGTAAAGTTGTTTGCACTGAGCTCGGGAGCTGCGCTGTGCTACAGGACCTTCTGTGACCATGGACACGTGCAGTGGCTGCACTGTCCCACGGGGCAGCTGCGAGCCACCTGGGACAAGTGAGATGAGGCTGGTGCCACCAAGGACCTGGATTTTAATGTTTTGAAAGATTTATTTATTTATTTTAAAAGCACCGTGACAGAGAAAGAGAGAGGTCTTCCATTCTCTGGTTCACTCCACAAATGGCCACAACTGCCAGCGCCAGGACTGGGCCAGGCCGATGCCAGGAGTTCTGAAGCTCCACCTGGGTCTCCCCCATAGGTGGCAGGGGCCCAAGGACTTGGCCATCTTCTGCTGCCTTCCCAGGCCGCGTTAGCAGGGAGTTGGATTGGAAGTGGAGCAGCCGGGACTGGAACCGGTGTGGGAATACGGGATGCCAGTGCTGCAGGCGGAGGCTTGACCTGCTGCGCCACAGTGCCTGACCTCTGGATTTTCTTTCTTTTTTTTTTTTTTTTTTTGACAGGCAGAGTGGACAGTGAGAGAGAGAGACAGAGAGAGAAAGGTCTTCCTTTGCCGTTGGTTCACCCTCCAATGGCCGCCGCTGCAGCCGGCGGACCGCGCTGATCCGATGGCAGGAGCCAGGATCCAGGTGCTTTTTCCTGGTCTCCCATGGGGTGCAGGGCCCAAGCACCTGGGCCATCCTCCACTGCACTCCCTGGCCATAGCAGAGAGCTGGCCTGGAAGAGGGGCAACCGGGACAGAATCCGGCGCCCCGACCGGGACTAGAACCCGGTGTGCCGGCGCCGCAAGGTGGAGGATTAGCCTAGTGAGCCGCGGCGCCGGCCCCTCTGGATTTTCATTCCACTTGAATTATTAACTTTCACTGGGCCAGACTTAGCTAACCACGCATGACTAGTGGCTACCACAATGCATGGCATAGCTCTCGAGCCGAGCCTTCCGGTATGGGTGCCACGCGAGCCTCATCCGTAGCTTATCTGTTTTACAAGTAGCTGCATTTTGCAAAGTAAAAGGAAATAGATGATATGTTTTATTTGAGCTAATATTATCAGCATATTATTTCTGTAAGATATAACAGGTATTTTAATTATGTAATAACTATTAATGAAGTCTACATTCTATCTTGATACTGTGTCTTCAATATCCAGTGTGCATTTTATGCTTATTTGCATCAGTTTGGATGCTAAAATTTCAACAATTGAAACAGAGGGGGTGTCTGGCATAGTAGTTGAGAAGCCGTTTGACAGGCGCGTCCCATGTCGGAGGGCCCGGGTTCGAGTGCTGGCTCCACTCCAGTTCCAGCTCCCTGCTAATGTGCGTCCTGGGGGGCAGCAGCTGATGGCCCAAGTAGTTGGGTCCCTGCCACCTGCGTTAAGCTCCTGGAGCCTGGTCGTTGTGGATGTCAGTGAATGGAAACTCATCGGTCTGCTTGTCTCCCTTTCCCTTTGTGCCTTCCAGCTAAGTCAAAAAAATAAGCATTAAAAAAAATTAGAAAAATATAAAGTTGTGATTAATGCAAGACCATGTTGTACTGCCATTAATTGAAAGAAAATAAATTCAGTTCGTCAGTCCCACGGGGCACCCCCTGTGAGAGCCGGTGGCTGCCTGGGTGGACAGTGCATCTGGCTTTCTTTGTCCGTGGGTCCCTTCCCCGTGTTTGGGTGATCCCATGATCCCTGAGCTGAGTGTCTGCCACATGTTACTCCCAGGCTTCCAATGCCCCTGTTCTCGCCGCGTGGGTCGGAGACGCACAGCCCGCACCCCCAGGTGGGTGGTCTCCCTGCCGCTGCCAGGGGACACAGTGCCACCGCCCTCTGGTGACCCCCAGACAGGGCTGCGTGCTCATCCTTTTCTGTGTGGTGGCCCCACCTTCCCGCACGGGCACTTCCGGGGGTGGCCACGCCCTGCCGTGTCCACAGCGGGGGGGCCTGTGCAGCAGGACCAGCCGAGGTGTCCTGCGGGCCCTGGCAGCACTTCTCCAGGTCCACGTTCTGATGCAAGGTGCCCCCCTCCCGTAGGAAGTTCTAGAATTTGTGACCTCATGAGCTCTGAGGGCAGGGACCGTGTCTGCCTCGGTCACAGGGATGTCCCCAGCCAGAGCACGGTGCCTGCACAGAGGAGATGTTCAGAACCCGTGGGGGAATGAGTGCACGGATGAGTGACAGGTGGCTGTAGAAATGGTCCCGTTTGCCCCCATCTTCCCGGCCAGCCTCGCCTCCCGCCCCTCCCCCCAGCTCCACCTGCTCTTCCCTTCTCACCCCTCTGTCTTTGCTCAACTGTCCCCTTGGCCTGGGACACCGCCTGCTTCCTGCCGCCCTTCCAGCTCCCCCTGTTCTCCCTGATCATTGCCCCCCGGGGGCTCTGCCAAGTTCTCGCCCCGCCATCCTGGTCCCCCCATCACAGCCCCTCCCGTGCCCGGTGCCCTGTCGCCACGTTCCCTGGGGGACACTGGGGGAGCGCCTCTGTACGCCTCACTCGGGTGCTGATGCAGAGTAACTCCCACGTGGTCTCCAGCAGCCTTGGCAGGAGGAGCTGTTTCTGCCCTTGACTAAAGATGTGCAGACTGAGGCTCAGTGAGCCCAAGGAAGACACAGCGAAGGGCCCCAGGGGCTGCGCCTCCCCGCGCAGGCTCTTAGCTCCCCCTCCCCAGTGAACCCCTGGAGGGCAGAGCCCAAATGCTTGCCTGCTTTTTTGTTTTTCACATTTGTTTTATTTATTTGAAAGGCAGAGTGACAGACACAGAGATCGTTCGTCTGCTGGTTCACTCCTCAGATGGTCCAAACGGCTGGGGCTGGGCCAGGCACATCAGCAGGGAGCGGGATCAGAAGTGGAGCAGCCGGGACTTGAACCCTTGAATCTTTTTTTAAAAAAGATTTATTTACTTGAAAGGTAGAGAGACAGAGAGGTCTCCCATCTGCTGGTTCACTCTCCAGATGGCCTCGACAGTCAGAGCTGGGCTGGTCTGAAGCCAGGAGTTTCCTCCAAGTCTCCCATGGGGTGCAGGGACCCAGGGACCTGGCCATGTTCCACTGCTTTCCCAGGCGCGTTAGCAAGGAGCTGGATTGGAAGTCGAGCAGCCGGGACACCGCAGGCAGCGGCTTTTCCGGCTGCTCGACAGCACTGGCCCCTCAGATGCTTCCTTACTCTCCACTCATCGCCCGTGCCCTGTGCTGTCATGCGGCAGAGCCAGGGATGGCCCTGACTCTGGGTTAGGAGGCGGTGCCGCTCGCCTCGGCCTCTCCTGAGCCCTGGGTTTGGTTCCCCTGGCGCAGGGCGTCACTGAAGGCTACAACGGCACCATCTTCGCCTACGGCCAGACGGGCAGCGGAAAGTCGTTCACCATGCAGGGCCTGCCGGAGCCGCCCTCCCAGAGAGGCATCATCCCCAGGGCGTTTGAACACGTGTTTGAGAGTGTGCAGGTACAGCCGGGTGTGGGGGTGGGGGGCGGGGGGGTGGCGCCGGGGGCCCCGGGGGCCCTGGCCCTTCTGCCCTGTGGCAGGGGTCGTGGGACGCAGAGCTCGGCCTTGACTTGGTGCGGGTCTTCGGGGGCCGGCGCTGGTTTCTGAAACGGTGGGAGAAGAGGACCTCAGCCTTGAGAACATTCCGATGCCCATTCCATGACTTTCCTGGCCGCTTTGGCTCATTTTTTTTTTTTTTTTGAAGATTTATTTATTTATTTGAAAGGCAGAGTTACAGAGAGAAAGAGGTCTTCCATTTACTGGTTTCCTCCCAAAATGGTCACGACACTGGGACAAGCTGAAGCCAGGAGCCAGGAGCTTCTTCCAGGTCTCTCCCACACATGCTGGGGCCCAAACCCTTGGGCCGTCTTCCACTGCTTTCCCAGGCGCATGAGCAGGGAGCTGGATGGGACGTGGAGGAGCCAGGATTTGAACCTGGGAAGCTGGCGCTGCAGGCGGAGGGTTAACCTGCTAAGCCACAGTGCCGGCCCTGCTTTGGTTCTTAAAAAGCAGGTGGCATTTCACGCGATACGGCCACCTGAGCACTGGGTTGCAACTCTCCGAGCTCCTCCTGTAATTGAGCGATTGCTATGGACCAAGCCTGTGGGAAACTCTAATTATGTCTGAACCCGGAGACAGACGCAGGGGTAACTGACAGCCCCGTGTCCATCACAGGGAGGGCCGGGCTGAGACTCTGAATTCGTCCCAGGGTGAGTGTTCCCTGGTGGCAACATGCAGAGAGGCCCACGGAGCAGGGCCTGCGAGCGAGCAGCCCAGAGCCAGGGCTTGTTCCAGGCCTCACCCGTGGCCTTGGGTTCTCGCTCCAAGCCACAGGGAGGACCTTTTTCGCTCCCATGAGCACGTGGACATAATATCAGCCGCACAAATAGCAGGACGGAGATTATGCAGTTTGGAGAGGGCTGGGGTCCCACTGAGCAGTGGGCAGGGCGATCAGGGTGACGTCACGCAGGGGTGGGGACTCCTCTCCCCATGGTGTCTCCCACGCCCCCGGCTGCAGAGGACCCAGGCCAGGTCAGGCCTGGCAGCAGGTGGGCCTGGGGCTCAGAGGCCTCTCCTCTCCACCCCGACAGTGTGCGGAGAACACCAAGTTCCTGGTCCGGGCCTCCTACCTGGAGATCTACAATGAGGATGTCCGTGATCTGCTGGGGGCCAACACCAAGCAGAAGCTGGAGGTGGGTGCAGGGAGGGGCTGTGGGAAGGTTGCTGTTCAGATGAGGTGGGGACTTTGAACTTGAACTTCGGAGTATGCTCAGAGTTCATGATGCAGGGGAGGTGTTAGTGGGCCTCCCCCACCGCACCTCTATATCTGCTGAAATAGATGAAGTTGGTGGTAGACTTCATTTGAAGTAAGGGTTCCACTGCTAAAAAAAAAAATTACTTGGAAGATTTCTAAAGGCCCTTCACACTAAGAAGGCAATAGTGGCGATTGCTTATTAAGCGCTTCCTGTTTACTGGCTGGCTGAGGCCCATCGTGCCTCTGGCACTCAGCGTCTCCTCGTTGGGTAGCTATGATCTCCAAGCTGTCAGTGTGCGAAGGGAGCTTCAGTGTCCACGTCACACAGCGCTAAGTGGCCGAACCTGGACTTGAACCCAGCTGTGTCTTGACTTGAAGGTCCCAGATGTGACACACCCCAGTTTACCGCCTCTGAAGGGCTCCCATCTGACTTCGGTCCCCTTTGAAAGGCCCCCCCCCGAGGGGTGAAGTGACCCTCAGGCTGCTCCGCAGGGCACCCCTGGTGTAGAGGACAGAGAATGCCTGGGGAGACAGTCAGGCTGGGGAGACAGTCAGGCTGGGGACACAGTCAGGCTGGGGAGACAGTCAGGCTGGGGAGACAGTCGCTCACAGCAGAAAAGCTCCGACTGGCTCCCCCGGGGGCCGCTGCACAGGGCTCGATCCCTGCTGTCCTTTGTGCCCAGTCTCCTCTCCTTAAAGGGTGAGCCACAGAGTAGCTTTCCCAGCAGGGGGCAGCAGTGAGGCGTTTAGGGTTCCATCAAGATAGGCCGAACCAGGCTGGCCCTCTGGGGAGTCCGGTGAGGTCAGGAGACCCGGCAGGACTGGGCAGCCAGTGAGTGGCCAGGCTGGGCTCTGCTTGAGACCCTTTGGCCTTCACCCCGGTAAGACGCCTTGCTCATGTCTCGTCTCTTATGTGAGGTTCTCTAAATGCTGAATGGGGCGGCCGGGTGGAGGAGAGAGGTACCAACCCACATCCGAGGCCAGAATGCTGGTTGGCTGCCCCCTGCACCCAACTCTGGTGCTGTTTATCTGACCAGGCAACCAGAGGACCCCCAGGAGGCCCCACGAGTGGCATGGGGGTCAGCCCTCCTCCACGGGGACGTCTCAGGAGCATCAACCGGGGAGGTTGCTATGGAGACCGTTGCTTTACCCAAGAGGACAGACTTGCAAAGAGGAGCTGGCTTGCCGAGGCCGCGGGGCTGGGAGCCACAGAGTCGGGGCTGGGCCCCCAGGGCACGCCCTTCAGCTGCCACGGGGATGGGGAGCCTGAGTAGGGGCCCTGATGGCGCCTGTCTTCCCGCTCTGCAGTGCCCTCCAGGGCTATTCAAGACCCCGCAGTGGCCACGTGACACAGCCCTGCTCCCCAGTTGCTCCCAGACGCCCTGCCCTGGGTCACTGGAGATGTCCCTCTGATTGGCGGCTACTCTGTGGCCAGCTGAGCAGGCCAGGCCTCAGGGAGGAGCTGGAAAAATCCTGAACAGTTGGAGCCACATGGGCCCTTAGAGACCCCCCTGGAGCCAGCCCCTTCCTGGTTCGGATGAGGACACGCCGCGTGACCCGCATCTCCGTCCAGAACAAGATCCCCGGCCCCGCCCCCGCCAGCTTGGCGCAGGCGCACAGTGCTCTGCCCGGTCCACGCAGGAGCCCCGGCCGCCCACCTGGAGCTGTTCCCGTCTTCTCGCTCCTGGTGTAGCTGAGTCAGCCCCCAGGCAGGGAGGCAGGGAGAGGAGGCAGGCGTGGGGTTGCTGCCACGGATCAGCCCTAGACGGCCAGCCGGCGGAGTCAGGACCCCTGCCCACTTGGGAAACTTCTGCCAGCCTACAGCGGGGCGGCAGGAGACCCTCCTCTTCCTCTCGACCCTGGACTTAAAAGGGCCGCAGCTATCCAGAGCACCCATGCGCTTGTTGCCCTGGGCCATGGACCCGAGGCTGGGTGGGCCAGTCTGTCTGGGGGCTGCCGATGACCACAGTGACCAGGCGCAGGTGTTCCCCCGCCCCCTGCCCCGGGGCATGGAGCTCCGACCTGCTCCTTGTGGAGGACGTGCAGGGGAGGATACGGGGGTGCAGGTGCTTTCTTGCCCTATAACAGATGAGGAGGTGGAGGCTCCACTTCCTGTGTAAGACCAGCCCACCGCACGGTCAGGAGAGCAGGACTGGGCTCTGCATTCGGGGCCACGCCCCTCAGCACAGGCTCTTAACCTGCTCGGCACAGGGTCTGCTAATGTGTATAGCCGGAGCCGACTAGAGCAGCCAAGGCCAGCAGGAGATTTGGGGAAACAGAGGTACACACCCGGCCCCAGCCACTACAAACCTTCGTCCTGCACCCCAGCCGGGTCCTGCGTGGTGGAACAGAGCCTGGGGGCCTCTCTGCCTGGTTCCCCTGCACACTCCCCCACCGACCCACAGACACGGACACATCCTTGTCCATCCATGCTGCAGCCCACTGGTTGCCATGGCAACCCAGCTGTGGCCTCTGTGCAGCCAAGATGAGCAGTTACCCAGGGAGTGTGCAGAGCGGGCGGCTGTCAGAGCAGTCCTGCCTTGTTGGGGGTGGGGTTCCCTTGGGGAATGACAAGGTGTGTGTGTGTGTGGGTGGGTGGTGGGACAAACCCTCCTGGGCCTAAAGATAGAGCACTGGGAGACCCATTCCGCAAGGCGCATCTCCTGAGGTCGCCCAGGCCTCCAGACGCATCTCCGGCCTCTGTGACCTGCTCCAGAGCTGTGGTTAGATCCATTGTTGGACAGAAATGGGATTTATCGTCCCCATTTCACAGGTGAGGAGACAGGCTTAGAGTGAGGCAGACTGACCTCCCCACCTAGCAAGTGACAGAACCAGGGTTCTGGTTCTGAGTCTAGAGCAGGAAAGTTTCACGAGGCCAGGAGCCCCTCGCTCACGGGCTTGTGTGCCAGGCGGGGTCCTAGCCTCTGGGGGTGGCAGGCATCCAGCAGGCACCTCTCAGGCATGTGAGTACTGTGGCTGAGCTGGAGGGGTGCTGCGGGCCCCAAGGGCTGGCTCCACCTGCGTTTGGGGGCTCCTGCTTCTGCCGCTGTGACCCTCCTCCCAACCGCCTCCGGGGCATGGGTCAGCTCTCCTCCCAGCTGCCTCCGGGGCAGGGGTCAGCTCTCCTCCCAGCTGCCTCCGGGGCAGGGGTCAGCTCTCCTCCCAGCTGCCTCCGGAGCACGGGTCGGCTCTCCGGGGCGTGGGTCGGCTCTCCTCCCAGCCACCTCCGGGGCATGGGTCAGCTCTCCTCCCAGCTGCCTCCGGGGCGCGGGTGGGCTCTCCTCCCAGCTGCCCCTGGGTGCGGGTGGGCTCTCCTCCCAGCCGCCTCTGGGGCGTGGGTCGGCTCTTTGTTATTTCAGGCTTCAGTTCCCGCAGGATGCTTCAGCTTCTCCCCTCTGCCCCTGGAGCCTTCATGACCTGTGACCCCTCGATGGCTGTGACCTTCAAGTCACTTAGCCTTTAGGGTGCCTCCCTGGCTGCCCCGGTGTGCCAGCTCCACTCCCTGGCTGGGCCTGGCTGGGTCTCCGCCTCCTGCTGGAGCAGATGGGCCCATGTGAGGGCCCCGACCCCACCGAGAGGCCCTGAAGCCGGTGGGGCTTTCTGCGCTCGGCCTGCAGGGCCATTGGCAGCCAAACCCCTCTTGTTCCAGTCCACTCTGCTCTTGCCGGAGTGGTTTTATTTCTTCTCACAAGTGAGAAATACTGTGTGTCCCAGCTCTATGTCTGCAGCTAAGTGACCAGGTGGCCTGGGCAGTGAGCAAGCCGGCGCCATCGCATGAGCTCTCTGACCTGCAGCCCTCACGCAGGGCTGCAGCCACCTGCACCTGCTGGGGCTCTGTGCAGCAAATGGCCAGGGGCTGAACACATTCTTGCTGCCCCAGAGGGAGGGCAGAGAGGGGATCCGGAGCTCAAGCTCCCAGACTAAAAACCACCTTCACGGCGGTGGCCCTGGTGGGTGCCCCGTGGATGGCACCTGGCATTTATGGGACACTTAGTCACCTGCCAGAGGCACCATGCTGAGCCTTGGGTGCCCCCTTTGTCTTTAAGATTTATTTCTTATTTATTTGAAAGGCAGAGTTACAGAGAAGAGAGATAGAGAGAGAGAGAGAGAATTGTCCATTCACTGGTTCACTCCCCAAGTGGTCGCAGTGGCCAGGGCTGGGCTAGGCTGAAGCCAGGAACCTGGAGCTTCTTCCAGGTTTCCCATATGGGTGCAGGGGTCCAACCACTTGGGCCATCTTCTGCTTTCTTAGGCACATTAGCAGGGAGCTGGATCGCAAGCGGAGCAGCCAGGTCTTGAACCAGCGTCCATATGGGATGCTGGCATCGCAGGGGGAGGCTTAACCTGCTACATCACAATGCCGGTCCCTTCCCCTTATTTCACTGGTTTCTTACCATAGCCCGACGAGATTGATGATGTCTCATACCCATTGTATAGATGTGGAAACTGAGGTCCAGACTGAGTCACTGACACAAGGTCCCACAAGTAGGAGGCAGGAGGAGGTTTGCGGGTGGCCCTGCCTGGAACGGGCGCCTTCCCTGTTATGGGGCGTTAGCTGAGCCAATCCGCGCTGCAGGAGGGCAGGCGCGGTCTGGTGGAGCTCAGGCCTAGGGTGCCCTGGGGACCCCTGGCCCCACCTCCACCCCGCTCCTGAGCCGTGCCTCCTGCCCGCAGCTGAAGGAGCACCCGGAGAAGGGTGTGTACGTGAAGGGGCTGTCCATGCACACGGTGCACAGCGTGGCCCAGTGCGAGCGCGTCATGGAGACGGGCTGGAAGAACCGCTCGGTGGGCTACACCCTCATGAACAAGGACTCCTCACGCTCACACTCCATCTTCACCATCAGCATCGAGATCTACGCTGTGGGTATGCGCCTGGGACCAGGGGCGGATACCCGAGCGGGTCCAGCGCCTGTGGAGGAGGGACCACCAGAGGGCGCTCCCCTGCGGCAGGGCAGGAGCTGAGGAGCTGAGGCTGCACAGCAGGGGGGTGCAGGAGCTGGGCTCCTGTCCCGAGGCCGTCCGTCCTCTCTCTCTTTGTAGTCTCACTGAGCTTCTTTCTGGCCGAGTTTGTGAGAGCCTGAGCAGGAAGGGACAGAGCGTGGTTACTCGGGGCCTGCGGGGCCAGCACTCGGCTGCTTCGTTCTGTTGCAGCCTGCAGCCGTCCCAGGCCGGGCAAGCTGCATTGTTCTCGTTTTCCCGTGGAGAAAACAGCTCGGAGCTGCTGTGGGTGTGCTTGCCCAAGCTCCCGCCAGCCCAGCCCGACCCCAGGTCCTCCTGATCGCTGGTTTTCTTCTGCTGACCCTCCCTGCTGCTGCCTCTCGCGAGTCTGTGGCCCAGCAGGAGTCGGGCTCCGGAGAGCGCGGAGCAGCAGGCAGCGGCAGCCCGGCGGGAGCACAGGTCTGCAGAGGCGGTTGACCAGGGTCAGCGCCCAGGCTGGTGGGACCGTCCCCACCCCGCTCAGTCCAGGCCCCAGGCCTGCCCCTGCCGCTTGCCAAGTGTCCGAGGGGTGTGTGGCTGGGGAGGGTGGGATTCGTGTGCTCCCAGGGGCAGGGACAGGAGGGGCAGGTGATTTGGTCCCTCTTGGACTCTGCAGGAGTGTGTGAAGGAGGGGACAGGCTGCCTGCAAACAGGCTTTTAACAGATTTAAAAGATGATTCTTGCTTTCATTATAAAATAATGCAAACTCAATAAAGATACTTAGAATTTAGAGAGAGATGGGGGAGAGTGCCCGTGGTTCTGGGAACCAGCACAACCAGCCGTTCCCATCAGAGCACACTGTGCTTCGCGTTTTCTTTTCAGAAAGATTTATTTATTTATTTGAAAGGCAAAGTTACAGAAAGAGGGAGACACACAGAGAGAAATCTTCCATCTGCTGGTTCATTCCCTAAATGGCCAAACAGACAGGGCTGGGCCAGACCAAAGCCAGGGGCCTGAAACTCCAACCAGGAGTTCCCACGTGGGTGCAGGGACCCCAACACTTGGGCCATCCCCCACTACTTTCCCAGGTGCATTAGCAGGAGCTGGATCAGAAGTGGAGCAGCCGGACTCGAACCGGCGCCCACATGGGATGCTGGCCTCACAGGTGCAGCTTAACCTGCTGCGCCGCCGTGCAGTGCCTTGTCTTTTGATGCTGTTTTTCCGTGAACGTTTTAGGCACGATTGGAGTCTTACGCTCCAGGTGGTTTCCCCTTGGCTCTGTTTGGCAAGCATCTCCCTCGTCAGCACCGTGTGCCCGGGGCGGAGGGTAGTGCAGGCATTTCTCTCACCCATTTATGACCAGCCTTTGCAGGGTGCTCCAGTTGTCTTCAGATCTGCGGTGCTGTAGATGAGGCTGTGGGTGGAAGTGGCTGACACAGGTTCCTTGCAGCGGAGCCCTGGGGGTGGGGCTCGCGCGTGAGGCTCCTACGACCTGAACACAGAGCTTTCCCAAGGCCGGTCCCCATTCTGTCCTGCTCTTTTATTAAAAAGTAATTTAAAAAATCAGTTGCATGGCAGAGAGAGAGAGAGCGCGAGCGAGAGCACGTGAGCGAGCAGGAAGGAGCTCCACTGGTTCACTCTCCAAATGCCTGCAGTAGCCAGGGCTGGGCCAGGCTGAAGCCAGGAGCCAGGGACTCGGTGTGGGTGTCCCGTGTGGGTGGCAGGGACCCAACCACTTGAGCCATCACCTACTGCCTCCTAGGGTAACGTCAGCAGGAAGTCAGAATCAGGACAGAGTCAGGACTCGAACCCAGGACTCAGATATGGGATTTTGTTCCTAACCACTGCACCAAATGCCCACCCCTCTCTTTAAAGAGCCTGAGGACCCACGCCCCTCATGCGTCCACCTGCTGCGTCCCAGCCAGGCTTTCGCCCTTTCAGATTGGGGGCCCGCGTGTAACATGGGCAGCTGCGGTTTCAGCCCCGCCCCCGCCTCCCTGCCCCGATCTGGGGCTTCGGGCCACGTCAGAATTGAACGATGTCGCCCTCCAGCTCCTGGGGTGGTTTACGGGGTGGCCAGTGCCAGTGAGCACTAGCCTTGGGCAGGCCCAGGCTGAGCTCGGCGTGTTTGCGCCGTCACTGCCGTCCTCATGGTGACCTTCAAGCTGGCTTTGTGTCCGCACTGAGAGAGGGGCTGCTGAGGCTGAGTCCAGTGACGTGACCTCCCGTGTGTCACAGCTGCTAAGGGAGAGGGTCCGGATGGGCCCTCTGAAGCCCAGTGGTCCAGCCGCAGGTGGCTGTCCCATCACCCTCCATGCCCAGGGCCCATCCAGCCGGCACAGTAGCAGTGACCTTGGCACCATGTGCCGGGCTGCTGTGGCCCCCATAAGAAACTGCTGCAGGTTTCCTCTGCTCCTCCCAACAACTGACCCTAGTGGGGGCTGGTGCTGTTGTCACTTTGTTGATGTGTGAAACTGTGACCCAGAGAGGCGCATGGCTCCCCTGGTGTCACACAGCAAGGCAGAGGCAGGACTGGGCTGGGAGCCAGGTCCAAGAGTCTCCAAAGCTGATAAATGGACGAATCAACTCCTTGGGGATCCAGCCATGCCCCCCACCCCCCACCTTTGGCCTAGAGGAGGAGTGGAGGAGCTGCTGGGTAGCCATCAGGAGCCTGCTGCACTCAAACAAACTAACACCCGGCCCCTGCTCCCCGGAGTCGGACGGCCCAGCGTTCTGATTTGGGCTCCGCCCCTTAGCAGGTGTAACCCTGGACACGTCGCGTGCTCAGTGGGCTCCTGACCCCGGGGCGCCCTCTAGTGCCCTGCCTGCTCTGTCTGTCTGTGCAGACGAGCGGGGCAAGGACCACCTCCGGGCGGGCAAGCTGAACCTGGTGGACCTGGCAGGCAGCGAGCGGCAGTCCAAGACGGGCGCCACGGGGGAGCGGCTCAAGGAGGCCACCAAGATCAACCTGTCGCTGTCGGCGCTGGGCAACGTCATCTCGGCGCTGGTGGACGGCCGCTGCAGGCACATCCCCTACCGCGACTCGAAGCTCACCCGGCTGCTGCAGGACTCGCTGGGCGGCAACACCAAGACGCTGATGGTGGCCTGCCTGTCGCCCCCGACAACAATTACGACGAGTCCCTGAGCACGCTGCGCTACGCCAACCGGCCAAAACATCAAGAACAAGCCGCGCATCAACGAGGACCCCAAGGACGCGCTCCTCCGCGAGTACCAGGAGGAGATCAAGAGACTGAAGGCCATCCTGGCCCAGCAGATGGGCCCCACGGGCCAGCCAGGTAGGGTGGCCCTGGAGGGCGTGGCAGGAAGGGGCGGGCCCGAAGAGAAGCGAGCCTACGCCTGGCGTCTCGTCCCCACCTCCTCTGACGCCACGGGGCACGGCTGTCTTGGTTGGTTTGTTTTCATTTTATTTGAAAGGTGGACACGGAACTTCCATCCACTGGTTCACGCTCCAAATGCCAGCGACAGCCAGGGCTGGGCCAGGACCCAGGAGCGCAGTCTGGGTCCCCGACCTGGGTGGCAAGGACACCAGTACTTGAGCCGTCACTGCTGCCCCCAAGGGTGGACATTAGCAGGAAGCTGGGATTGGAAGTAGCAGGACTTGAACTCAGGCAGTGCAGTAAGGGATGCGGGCTACCCAGGCAGCGTCTTAACCACTGCTCCAGGGGCCCGCTGCTGGGCTCAGCTTTTGAAGAGTCAGGCGCAGCCCTGCTCGGTGAGAGCCCAGATGGTGTTTGCCTGGCCGTGCCTGAAGGAGAGGCCTGGCCCTGGCTCGTCCCACCAGCCACGGGCCCTCGTCGCCCGCTGCCGGCCTCCGCCACGCCCCCAGCAGCCCCTGCTGTCCTCGTGGCAGCGTCATGGCCGCCGGCTGACCTGCTCCCCCACGTCCCACCCAGCTCCTCAGGG